ACTTTTATTTGATGAGAAGACCTAAACCAGAATCCTTCTGATAATATCATACCCAAGAAACCAAAGACAGACTCAAAATATAACTAGGAAGCGGATCAAAATTCTTAAATCCTAAATGAGGGTTAAGAATTTCATTCCAAGCAGAGGAAAAAAGGAATCGGTGAAAAATCAAGCCAAGGAACAAGGAATAATGAAATATTTAGCATCCTTTTTATAGCCTTAGATCATTAGTCAAGTTTCATCTCCTATCCCATGTGGGATGGAGTAAATTTCAAATTTTACCATCCATCCCATGTAGGATAGAGTGAATTTCGAATTTCGCTTTATCCTTAAGGGTTCTAGAACACTCCAATTATTCATTCTTTTAACTAATTAATATTCAACCCCTTCAATTAATTAATTCTAAAACAATTTCTAATTAATTTATTAAACATAATAAGATAATAAACTATTTTTTGTCCTTAATTCCTCAAATGTGTCATGAGGGCAATCCAAAAGGACCATGTTATTATTAGAAATATTACCAATGGTTAATGTCCTTGGTCACTCTTTCCAACAGTCTCTTACTTGGACCAGTCATAAACTATACAAAGTCTAATACTTCTTCAATAATTAACATAGAGTTAGCCATCCAAATCAACAATCGAACTCTACTTAGATAAGTGATCAACTAAACCTTTATTCTACAAGATACATGTATGAATTTGATACATAGATAAGGGTCAATCTGAGTGTTCAAGATTATGATTCCCAAAATCGATTTGTGAAGATTGCATCTGACTACAAAATTCAATACATCAGTTTCATTCAGGGCTCAACTAAGCACTTAGATGTCAGCACCAAATTATCGAGGGGCCATATATATCGCTTCTCGTTTTAAGGCAGAAGAAACAAATAAATTTATACTACATAGGTTTTATTTACTTCATAATGTCACACATGGACATAGCCTTTATTACTACCAGTTACAGATAATGTTAGAGTAAACCAATGCATAATTGAATTATAGAGAAAAACCTCATATGTGTCTCAGTTTGAAGAATAGAAGATATTATCATTATAGAATTACTTTTGATTATATCCATGAAGGAATCTCTATGTATGGGTTGTTCCAATAATTAAATCTCTTTTAAGTATTCGTAAGTGTTATCACAATCTATGTAATATCCCCAATCACCATGGACACTCAACTAATACCCATGCCAGTCTTAAATCCCTTACTTACTTCCAAGAGTATGACCAACTGTGGAGGTTTGAGTAAATTAATACTTTGGAAATGGGTTCCAAACATACAAAAAGAGAACATGGTGACAAGCTAAATGAAAGGAACGATCTCCACCATAATTCAAATATCTCTATTTAATAATCTCCAAACCAAATTAAGAATTATACTGCTTAAGCTCTTAAATTTAAAACAAACTAAACTAAAAGTGTTCAAGCTAATTTATTTGCAAATCTAATGTGTCTTGACTTTGTCGGATTGTCAGACTAGGTTAGTTACATTAGGTTAGGGAATAGATCGGCAAGATTATTGTCTGATATGATGTCTATACATTTGACCATCCATCAAATGTGATAGTACTTACTCAGTATGTGTCATTAAGCTTGTATGACTTGGGATCCATACTCAATGTAAATTCACCCTTAAAGAAACTTCAAAATGATCATTAATGATTGGATTCCAACACTAATGTCTTTACTCTTTAATGAATCTCCTTTGATCATATAGATTCTCTTTGTAGTCTAATTAGATACAATGTACTCTAAGTTTATTGTTAGATCCACTATGGTGAATTACTTAGTACTCTTCCAAGCTAATACTTCATTATTTAGTAAAATACCAATTCCGACTATGGATATAATCGTCTATATTAGCCTGGAACATAACATCAATGTAACTTTTACGATGATCTCTCCCATACTAATAAGATCATCTCATTTGTCCTCCTAGCACACTAAGGAATGTTCTTGATTTCAATTTATTTATTCTATCCAAATTGATTTGAACCTGATTTGGCATGCTCAAGGCATACGAGTCGTCAAATATAGTACATGCCATGACATATATAACTGATCCCATAGTAGAAACATGTGGAATACTACTCATTTCATCTAGCTCAATAGTAGAACTAGGATATTAGCAGTGTTTTAAAACTCGCCAAGTTGTCTGATTACTCCTCTGAGTATTTGCAACTCGACCCCTTTCCCATGCGAGTTGCAGAATCCCAAGTACTCCTCGATCAATCCCTTACTGAACTGAGCGGTGTTGTAAAACTCGATCAACTCAGTGATTAATATGTATAATATACTTAATGATTTATTATTTAACAAACACACATGTGATTATTACTACATATGTATCTTAAATTTTCAACAATTATTCACAAAGTGAGACCATTATGCGTTTTTATATTTTTGTGTATTAATGTGTATATATTTTGTTATATATTTCAATCAACTTTTAATTTCAACTTATGATTTTGACATATATAATTTCCATAAAAATATTTATACATGTATTACCAAATCCGACTACTCTCCGAGTACTCGTTACTTGGTAGTCAGTCGAACAGGTACCAAATAACGAGGTTTACAACCTTGGATATTAGCATCGCTCAATGTCATGCCATATTTTATTAAGCATGAAACCTTTTAGAGTTCTACGTGTCAAGTTTTGTCAATATTTCATGTATTTTGTCTTAATCCAATAATCACTTAGATCTATCTCGATAGGTCCTTATATTTTGTATGTGTGTTGTATCTCCCATATGTATCATAGTAAACGAATCTCCTTACCAAGCCAAGATTTTACATTTACTAAGTTAGAACATAGTTTCTTATGAATGTGTACATAATCAATGTACATTACAAAAGAGACAACAATGCTCATATTAGCATTGACATATATTTATGGCTCGTACTCGTTTCTTGAAGTTCAAACTCTTAAATTCTATCATTCAAACAAGGATTCTAATTGCTCCCACTAGCTTTGATATATATATATATATATATATATATATATATATATATATATATATATATATATATATATATATATATATATATATATATATATATATATATATATATTATAAAGCATATTAGTCATATATTTTGAATTTTAAGATGTATAAGTTATACAGTTTTTTGTACAAATTCGATATACATAAATAATTCATTAAAACTTGCTAAAAATTCGAAATCACAAATTAAGGAAAATAATTAAAATTTCAATTTGGAGCAAATGAAAATTTTAAAATATAAAATTCATTTATATAAATTAATTTGCATTTTTTAAACTAATCACCAATATTAACTAATTTACATCAATATATAAACATATAATATAAACATAAATATAAACATAAAGTCTAACCATAAATATTCTATTTAAAAATAGATTTTTTCTATTATATAAGGACTAATAATAAAATGTAACAATTATTTCCACATAGGAAACTATTCGCGAAAAAAAATTATTTATTATTATCATTTTGTGCGGGCACAAATCTAATATATATATATATATATATATATATATATATATATATATATATATATATATATATATATATATATATATATATATTCATTTCTCAAAACTCAAACTCTTTAAACTTTCTTATTGAAATAAAGATTCTAATTGCTTCTTCTAGCTTTGACATATATATGGTTCATATTCGTCTCTCGAAATTAAAGCTCTATCAACTTTCTTATTAAAAGTAAAGATTTCAATTACGAGGTGATCGTTTCAGTCCATAAATGAACTTCTTAAGAATAGACATCCTTTAAACCTATATTGGTTTGATTCTTAGTTTGTTGATATACATGCTTGTCTCTTCTTGAAGATCCGTTACACATAACCGTTAAGGCCATGTGCTTGATCAACCAAGTTTTAATATACATGGATTGAATCTCGCTCTCCATAACTTCTTTTTATTTTGCAACATTTAGGGCCTACCATAACTTTCAATAGCTGGGATACTTTGATTGTTGATATTCATCAGTAATATAGATTCTACATAACTAGGTGTACGTACCGTTTATGAGCACATTATAAACATGTGTACCTACCGTTTATGAGCACATTATAAACATGATCGTAGCACCATACCGTCTATAGATGAGGTTAAGGATTGCATGTGGAGAGTTCCACATTTGAGTGTTTTTGGAAGTCGCATATATGTTATGATATGCATTACACTTGATCTGGCCGATGAACTTAATGTGGTGGAGAAGACTTGCTGGGAGGCATTCAAATGGATTATATATATCGCTTGAAGAGAACATCTAATATCCATCTAATTTATGATGCTAGAAATATTGATGCTAGAAGTATTTTGACACTTAGAGTGTGTTATGTATCGCAAATAATTGAGTCTATCATTAGAAAGACTAAGGATACTGATGTGAGGTTGAATTTTATTATTGATGTTCTTGAAAAAGACATTTTCTTAATTGAGAAGATAACTACTTAAGAGAACCCACCTTAAGAGAACCCACCGAATGTAGAAGTTCATGTATTGCTTGGAATTGGTGAATGTTGGTACAAGTTAAGTTTGTTCGACGCCAACTAGGAGGAAGGAGATGACTCTTTGGAATGTTTGATTGTCAAAGACAAATCAAGTCAAAATGGAAATTGTTAGATTGCGATTTGATAATAAGAATAAATAACCCGATGTAAATGAAATGAAGAAACCCAAATACCAAATATTAGGAAGTATGCTATAGCAAATACTTGCTAGATTTTCAAACACTTTGTAATCGAAAAGTTCTGCAGGTCCTGTTGCAGAAGAGCTTAATGATAAAACCAACATATTGCATTAAGTAAGGAACGAAATCAAAGAAACGAATATTAGAACGACCACCTAAAATACATATCTCAAGTCTCAACATATAATAAATGCAAAAAATTTAGTCAAATTAAAAGTTTTGATAATGATTTACCTTTTTTTTTTTTTTTTAATAATGATTTACTAAATTATAAATATTCATTAGTTTTATAAAATGCTTTCCAAAAATACTTTTAGATTTATCTGTGACGAACCACCATCTTTGAGAGATTCCATGGCAACCTTTTTCCATTTCTCAACGCTCTTCTTTATTTCTTCCGCCCTCTCGCCGCCTCCCATCACCGCTTCCAAACACCTCTTCACCTCTTCTCTCCTCACCAACATTTTCTCATCCACCACCGCTCTGACACCATTCCCCCACACTTCCTCCACCATCTTTGCATTCGTCGGCTGATCGGAAAACTGTGGACACGCCACAACTGCCACTCCGGCCACCATACTTTCCAATGTCGAGTTCCACCCACAATGCGTAACAAAACACCCGACAGCACCGTGTCTCAAGACCTCCATTTGTGAACACCACCCCACCACCAGCCCATCGTCTCCTACTTTCTCCTTCAATTCCTTTATCTCTTCGTCTTCATCTTCACAGTTGTCACGTAAAACCAACAAAAATGGCCGACTCGATTCTATCAATCCATGTAGAATCTCTTCCTTTTGAGCTTTGCTTATCACAGCCTTGCTCCCAAATGACACGTATATCACCGAGTTTTCTGGTTTTGAATCTAGCCATCGAAAATATGAGCCATGATTGTCGGAGAAAGAAGAAGGAACCAATGGGCCGACGACAACGGCGTTCTTGATGGATTTTATGGAATCAGACTCCAGGTCATCCATAGTGTTCACCAGCACACGTGGATTAGGTTCTTCCTCAAGAAACTTAAGGTGTTCTTGACAAAGAGAAATCATTTCGGAAAAAGTCGGATCAGTTGGTAATAGATACGTTGGAAAATCACTACATTTCAACAAGGGTAATCCTGGTAACTGTAGAGAAATGGAGGTTTCGATATCTTTGTTTACAACAGCAATACCATCACGACTGTTGCAGAAATGGTTATAAATCGAAAAGCAAGTGGCGGTTTGGATGACGAGGATGGCAGAAGGCACGTTTAGCTCACGCGCCACCACCGCTGCCCAAGGTATGAAGAGGGTGTAAACTAGAAATGTAACCTGGTTGCCGCTTTCTGACAAAGTTTGAATAACACATGCAAGGCTCTCGGAGCCCACGCGCTCTAGGTCTTGAAAGTAGCCGGGGATCTTGTCTGGGTTGATGTCATCATCATGGCCGTCGGAGAAGGAAACACAAGAGATGTCATCGAAGAAAGGCAGAGATTTGAGCTTGTTGTTGAAACCGGTGACGGTGGTTGCAATGGTGACACGTGCACCGACGCGTCGCAGGTTCTTGGCGAGCTCAATGGTTGGGTTGAGATGGCCGTACGCGTGTTGAGAAACGAGCAGGACATGTGGGTGATTCATGGTGGTTCTGTGTTTACCAGTAAGAAGTCAGTGTTGGTGCACACTTAGTCTTTAGTTTATGTGATTAATTATATTTAGAGGATCACCATTGAAACTGATTCGGTTGTTTTCGATATGACACATAGGGTTTGCCGTTTCAATCCGTGAAACCTTTAAAAAAGATTAAATTTATATTTGAACAAGATTACATACGAGTACAGTTGATTACAAAAATTAAATAGGAAAAAATAAATATCAAAGATTTTAAAAACTAAAAGGGTGTTTTAACTTTAAACTTTGTGGATATAGGTGACGATGGGTAGAAAAATTAGATAGTTGAGTGTTAGGTGCTGTTTGTTTTTTCTGAGGCAAAATATCTGCAGTCTGCGGACCACATCTGTAGACCTCTGCAGTAGAAGAGGTGGACCAAACGTCTGCAGTCTGAAAATAGAAGACTGTTTGTTTTTTTAATATCTGCGGGCTATTAAAATAAATTGAAATCTAAATAAACTGATTTTTTAAAACTTCAAAGCGAATTTTTTATATATTTCTACGACTTTATTATAAATATATAACGAATCTAGATCAACTTTTATGTATTATTATATAAAAAATAAAAATAAAAATGGTATTAATTCATATACATATTTGATAAAAACCAACAACTTTGATTGCAAAGTTATAACTAAACATTATAATTAGTGATCAAAGAATTTGATGATACTCTATTAAATAAAGTTTTACAAAATTTTGGCAAAAAAATATAAGAATATATTATGAGTTTTTTTTCATATTTATATAAACAACTTCAACGAATATTATTATAATAAATTTTTATTTATAAATTTGTTAAAAATATCATGTTTGTATCGTCAAATGTTTTTTTTTAAGTTTTGTAATTTTTTTTCATATTGTTTATCATTAATAAAGTTGGAAAAAATATAAATTAAAAAAAAAAAAACTTTAAAAAAATAAAGATATATATGTTTTTTTAAGCTAGAAGATGTCTGAAGATGTTACAAGACTCTGGTCCACATCTTCGCCAAGAAGAGGGCGCGCAGATATTTTTAGGTCTGCAGTCTTCAAAAAAACAAACAGTCTGCGAAGACTAATGTCTGCGCGTGGTCTGCGCGGCGCAGACAGAAGACGTCTCGCAGATCTGCAGACAAAAAACAAACACTACCTTAGTGTATATTATATGTGTATAAGTATAACCTAGGTCTTAAGCAAAATGATAGCGGCTCATGTTGTATGCACCAAAGAGTATTGCATTTTGTATGAATATGTGTGATGTGTTGTTTAAAAAGAAATGAAATCCCATTTAATAATATGGTATTAGAGCTTCACTCTTAAAACCTCTCCTAATATCCTCCACTGTCAACCTTTCTCACGATTGTTATCCTTCACTCTTAAAACCTCTCCTAATATCCTCCACTGTCAACCTTTCTCACGATTGTTATCCTCCACTGTCAACCTTTCTCACGATTGTTAAGATCAGAGAAAATGAACAAAAAAGATGAATTGATTTGAAAGATATCTTCTCATTACTTTATTATAGTCTATGATTATTACATATATATGCATGAATAACATTACATAAAAGAGTATCTAACTACTACTAACTAACACAAACAAAATTCTAACTTGAAAAGACAATACTACCCTTGGTAGTTAGAAATGGTTATAACAACTATATTGGCTAGGATGATCTAGCTAATAGCGCCCCCACACCCCCCCTCGCGGCAAGGTTGGATCCATATAAAAAAAATCCAAACTTGGATGTTACATCTATATGTTTAGAGCTAGAGAGAGATTTTGTAAGAATATATGTCCTCTGTTCATTAGTTCAAACATGAGACAAACAAATTAATCCTGATTGTACTCTCTCACGAACAAAATGACAATCCATTTCCATGTGTTTAGTTCGCTCATGGAAAACATGATTTGTTGCAATGGATATAACATTCATATTATCACACTTGAAAGGAACATGATTGATATTAGGAATCTCAAATTCTAAATAAAGGCGATTGACCCATGCAAGCTCTGTTGTGACTCTTCTCATAAAACGATACTATACTTCTGCAGAAGACAAAGAAATAGTGACTTGCTTCTTAAATTTCCATGAGATAGGCGATCTGCCAAACATGATTAAGAACCCACTGGTAAACTGTCTAGTAACTAAACACGCAGCCCAATCGGAATCACAATAGGCCTCTAATCAATAAGATGAATAGTTATTAAACAGAAGAGCTTGATCAATTGTTCCTTTGAGATACTTAAGAACATGAAAAACAGTTTGATAATGAGCTTGACAAGGTGTTTTGTTAAATTGACTCAAATCCTAATGCTGAAAGCAAGATTAGGTCGTGTATGTAACAAAAAATAGAACTTCCCCACAAGTTGTCAATAGTTAGTAGCATCATAAAGGGGATTATCCATGACCTGTAACAACTTGAGATTGGATAGTAGGGGAGTTGTTGATGAAGATGAGTCCAACAATTCATAAGAAGCTAACAACTTTTTAATAATTTTGGTTTGATGAACTACCATTCCTTTGTCTATTGAGTAAAATTTAATTCCTAGAAAATAATGAAGGAATCCTAAATCCTTGATTTTGAACTGTTCCTCATGAAAGGTTTTGCAACTTTGTAATATCTTCAAGATTATTCCACGTATTAATATGTCATCGACATATATAGCAACAATAAAATTTGTAGAACCAAACTTCTTGAGAAATAGAGAGTAATCATTATAAGAATGTGAATATCCTTTAATTCGTAAGGCAAAAGACAACTTGGCATACTATTACTGACTGCTTCAAACCGTATAGAGATTTCTTTCATTGACAAACAAGAGATGATGATCATGTTTCATATCAAGGTGGAAGGTTCATGTAAACTTATTCATTTAATTCTCCATGAAAAAAGGGGTTATTCTAGCCAAATTGATGTATATTCCACTAATTTTTCACTGCCAATGCTACAAGACTATGTATAGTGCTTAACTTGACTACTAGTGAAAACGTCTCATGGTAGTCAATGCCTTCCTTCTAAGTGAAACCTTTGTCAACTAAATGTGCCTTGTGATATTCAATTGGTCAATCATAACAGTATTTAACTCTATACCCACCTACATGCAATTGGTCATTTTCCTTTTGGTAGCTTGACAATATCTCATGTACTATTAGCTTGTAAGGCATCCAATTCATGCTTCGTAGCATCTTCTTGTTGGATTATGTGTAACATACACGTTTTGAAATCGTGTTTCGTAATAAATAAAATTGTGAAATACTATGTGAAATTGAGTGTTGAGTTCTAACAGATGAGTTTTACTAAAAATGAAGTAAAACTATGTTTAGAATCACTCAGAAAATATTAGAAGTCTTATGAGATTCCAATTAAAAGCCAAATAGTGAAATTTAGCGAAAATATAAAATTTTAAATAAGTAAAATTTTATTATTTGATGTTGTAGAGAATCTCGTTAGAAACTTGTAGGCGAAAACCTCGTCGAAATCCGAGTTATAACGAACAAGTTATGATCAACTGAAGATCCGCGATAAAACCGGCACGGCACCGAATGACGTAAAAAGTGAGTTTTTCATAAACTATTTTTTAGCCTTAGTAATCTAAATGAAAGTTGTAGTATTCGTTAAACCGAGAAATTTGATAAAAAGAACGCCAAAATCTGACTTCGTATGAGGAAGTTATGATTTTTCGAAGTTTCAACTTAGTAGTAGACAGCTAAAAACTCGAGTTTAGATCGAGTGATCTTTAACCGATACATCCTAAACAAGAATTGAAGGTCTCTTCATATGTATTACAACGATAAAAAGTCTGACGAAAACGGATGTTGGATGAAGAAGTTATGAATTTTTAACGGATTTTCCTGTCCCGGTCTGTTAAAAATAATAATATTAAAAATAAAGCTAAAATTAGCCAACGAAGTCTAAAAGGTAGTTGTAGAACATAATTGTAGCTACACGTGCATATAAAGAACGTTAAAAACGGAGCTCGTATGCGAAAGTTATGGATTTTAGAAGTTCGGGGCCCGAAAACCAAGAATTTTCGCATGAACAGTGTTCGAACACGTCACCTCGCACGAAGCAGCAGCATCACCGGAGACGTGGCCATTGCGAGAAGCAACACGTGTCGCATGCTGATTCGACCAAAGTGTGGTCCAAGGGAATTCCGACACTTGCCCCAATCCGAAGCAGCCACGAGCCCCCTAACGCGCCTTCACATCGCCTCCACATCCGAGCATCGCAGCAGGCCTCATGGCCTTCGCTTCTTGCTGCTGATGCCACCAAGCTGCTTCGCATCTGCTTCTGGACCGAGCCTCGCTGGTGCGACGTGGACATCACCCAGCCACTAGGTCTCAGCCCTCTCACCCTATATAAAGGGAGGTTGCGAGCCTTCCCGGGTAACTTTGAAAAATTGACACTTTTTCACCCTAATTTCATATATTCACTATTTTGACTTTTCCCGAAGCCCTGGTATCAATTTTAGTACCCGAAACACGCCCCGAGACCCCCGAGAAGCCCGAAAATTTTATCTTTTCGGTTTTGAAGTCCTAGCTTCACAGAATGCGGTTTTCAATTAAGCTCCCGGTTTTCAACATAGAAAGTCATATTTAAAGCCGAAGTGCCGCCCAAATTACTATTTTAAGCCCCGGTTAACTTAAGGTGAGTTTAATATATAGGAACAATTGTATGTTATGTGTTATACGTGCTATGTGCTTTTCATTGTTATTATTCTGAGTTATTTTCCCGTGTGATTTTATTCGCTATGTTTATAACAATTGTAATACCTTTGACCATGTGATCAGTGTCACACCCCCAAACCGGAACGGCGGAAACGTTCGGGGGCGGATGACTTCATGTGGTAACGTAACAAATGAATACATAGTAAATAAAGCAATACAACCATCATTTATATAATTGAAAATTTACATTATTTAAAAGAGTACATGTTCAAAACCAATTTCAATATGATGTCAAAATATGAATTTAAACTAGTGC